CTGCTGGTTCTGCATCTTTTGGTGCTGTTGCTGCTGCCACTGGTGCTGCTGCTGGGTTTGTGTTTGTTTGCTGCTGTTTGCTTCAACGTCTCCTGCCTCGTTGCTGCTGCTGCTGCATGCGCTGCTGTTTTATTTCTGCTTGCTGCTGCATTCGTTTCTGTTTTTTATTTTGCTGCTGCTGTTGCTGCTGCATTTCCTGCTGCCGTTGCTGCTGCACTTACTGCTGCTCTTCCTGCTGCTTTTCCTGCTCCTTTTACTGCCGCTTTTACTGCCGCTTGTCCTGCTGCTGCTGCTGCTGCTGCTGTTGCTGCTGCTGCTGCTGCTGCTGCTGTTTGTGTGTAGAGCTGTCAATCTGTAGAGTTTCTAGCAGAGGCGTCGCGCTCTGTTTTATATTCGGTTTGTCTCTCTGCATCCGACCAAAAAGTATTTGCTGCTTTTCTTCATGCTACACACAATGCGTAAGCAGCAGCAGCAGCAGCAGCAGCAGGAGCAGGAGCAGGAACAGCAGTAACTGCAACAATAGGAGCAGCAGCTCCTGCAGCAGCAGTAGCAGCAGAAGCGAATGCACTCGTGGGAGTGGAAGCAGCAGCAGCAGCTGCTGCATCAGCAGCAACAGCACCAGCACCAGCAGCCGTTGCTCCTGCTGCTACTGCTGCTTGCGCTTGTGCTGTTGCTCCTGCTGCTGCTGCTGGTTGCCTTTTGCTGCTACCTCAAATGCTACTGCTATTCTTTCTGCTGCTGCTGTTCTTTCTGCTGCTGCTGCTGCTGCTGCTGCTGCTGCTGCAGGAAGCATCAAGGGGCCCGTTGCGTGGGCGTGAGCTGTTTGGCTTTTTTGATCGATCAGTATAAAAGAAAGCCTCCTGAATTTCCTGCTCTTCTAGAGCTGCTGCTGCAGGTATCTGCTGCTGCTGCTGCTGCTGCTGCTGTTGCAGTTGCTGTTTCTGATGTTGCAGTTGCTGTTGCTGCTGCTCTTCTAGAGCTGCTGCTGCAGGTATCTGCTGCTGCTGCTGTTGCTTCTGTTGCTGCTCTTTTTATTGGTGCTGCTGCTACTGCTTCTGCTGTTGGGGCTCTTGCTGCTGCTGCTGCTGTCGCTGCTACAGCTTGTGTTGCTGCTGTTGCTATTCGGGCGCGCTGCTGCTGTTGGTAGCGATTCCCTGTGGGGGTAAGGGTTTAGGGTTTAGGGTTTAGGGTCTAGGGTTTAGGGTTTGTTCTGTGGGCTTCAGACGGCAGGAGAGGCCTCATCAGATCTCCGCGCTGCTTCCCGCGCCGCCCTTTGGCTACTGTTTGAGTGAGGGTTTAGGGTTTAGGGTTTAGGGTTAATTGTGTAGGGTCTATTCTTTAGGGTTTATTCTTTAGGGTTTAGGGTTTATTCATTATTTTTTATTCTTTATTCTTTAGGGTTTAGGGCTTACTCATTATTCTATATTCTTTATTCTTTATTCTGTATTCTTTATTCGTTATTCTTTAGGGTTTATTCTTTAGGGTTTAGGGTTTAGGGTTTAGGGTTTAGGGTTTAGGGTTTAGGGTTTAGGGTTTGTGTTTGCAGTGTGGTGCCGGCGTTGGAGTGGAAGACCGCCGGAATTTCTTCCGAGCAAATGAAGACTGTAATTCTTTTTTATATTTTTTTAATTTAATTTAATTAATTTAATTTAATTTAATTTAATTTAATTTAATTAATTTAATTAAATTTAATTTAATATTATTCTTTTATTCTTTTTAATTTTGTTTTTCTCTGTTCTTTTTTTCGTTTAGTTGTTTTTTGTTTTTATTTTTTTGTTTTGTTTTGTTTTGTAGTTTTTGTTGGTTTGTTTTATTGTTTTATTATTTTTATTCTTTTTATTCTCATTTTAAAAATTTGTTTTATTATTTTATTTTTATTTTATTTTATTTTATTTTATTTTATTTTATTTTATTTTATTTTTTAATTAAATTTAATTTTTTTTGTTTTTATTTTATTCTTTTCCCTCCTCTGTTTTATTTCGAGTTTTTGTTTTTCTTACACTTTTATTTTGTATATATATATATATATACATCTACATCTAATATATATATATATATATATATATCTATATATCTATTTAACTATTTATTTTATTCTTTGTCTCTTCGTTTCTTTTTAGTGTTAATTGCTGCACTTCCATTTTGCTGCTGTTTGCATGCATGCATTTTGCTGCTGTTTGCATGCGTTTTGCTGCTGTTTGCATGCATGCATTTTGCTGCTGTTTGCATGCATTTTGCTGCTGTTTGCATGCATGTATTTTGCTGCTGTTTGCATGCATTTTGCTGCTGTTTGCATGCATCAGGCGCAGCAAATATCTTCGCGGTGTACGCAGGCTGATGCAGCAAATGTTTTGCAGAGCGTTCGCTGCTCTATCAGAGCCCCTTGAGGTAATAATAATTTATTTTGTTATATTATAATATTATTTATTTTAGTTTATTCAATAATAATACTAATTGCAATAATATATATATATATATATGTTTATACATATATATATAT